TGAGAATCCAGATGAGCAGAATATTAGACAAACTCCTGCTTTCCTTTCTGAATTATTGGGTACCAAATTGGGTACCCATTTCAAGAACTCCTTTTTTGTCCAGTCTTGTATGCCCCGCCTTAGTGTAGTGTTTTTGATACTGATTCCTAAACACATATTCCCTTGATTCCTAATGCTACTTAATAATGATCAAGTCATGATTCCTTTGCTTTCTGAGACAGGATTTAAACTATAATGAGACGAGTATATATATTTTTCCTGAAGCCAGTGAGAAGTAGAGACGGAAATTTGGGAGGATGAGCATTATCATGGGAAGTATTATCTCAGATAAGTTCTCGGTGAGTTCTCAATGCAAGAAGAGGCTGATACATCTGACAGTGTCTTTTTGTTCAGGATTGCTTTGTCTATCCTTGGTCTCTTGTGCCTCCATATACATGATCAGATGGTTTCCTCTATGTCTGCAAAGAAAGGTCCTGGTGCACTGATTGGGATTGCACTGAATCTGTAGATTTCCTTTGGTAGGATAGCCATTTTCACAGCATTGGTTTTTCTGATCCAAGAACCTGGGTGGCCTTTCCATCTTCTGGTGTCTTCCTCAATTTCTTTTTTCAGTGTCTTAAATTAGGACCACTAGGAGGGTCCCCATTCCTCAGTCGATGTCCCCATATTCATGTGAGCAGCACTAATGGGATTCAGTAGGTTGAGAGAGAGACAGAGAAAGAGAGAGAGAGAAGGGAGAGAGGGAGGGAGGGAGGGAAAGGGGAAGACATACATGAGATGGAGAAAGAAGAGGGAGGGAGAGGAAGGGAGAGAAAATAGAGGCTAGGGACGTAGCTCAGTGGTAGAGCACTTGCCTAGCATACTCAAAGCCCTGCGTTCCATCCTGAACACCAAAAACAATTCAAAATTAAATTGAGTAGCATAAGAAATCGGGAACCATCTTTGATTCCTTGCTTCCTGTCCCTCACATCATCAAGTGCTATGAATTCCACCTGGGAAGTGTTGCAAGATAATCCACACCTCACATTCACCTTTACTTCTTCCCAATGAAACACTCATACGTACTGAAATATCACTACCCCCTTTCAGAATATATTGACTTAATTTGAGACTAAATCATAAGTTCTTATTACTGGGACATGCATCAGAGAACTGGACTGAAGAGCAGGAAGAGTAAGCTGGGAAATGGGGAGACAACACAAAGATGGCTTGTCAGCTGGAGCCAGAGAGGAGAGATGTGCTGGCTGATACGGGAGTGTCTGAGGACCTTTCTGAAATAAGAATCTTAAAAACAGACTTCTAGCCAGGTGTACTGGCACACACCTGCAATCTCAGTGATTGTGAGGCTGAGGCGAGAGCATCGTGTGTTTAAGTCCAGAATGATCTACATAGTAAGGCTTTGCCTCAAAACTCAGACAAACAGGCAACCAAGCCCCCACCCGCAAGATGTCTTTGTAAAGAAAGAAAGGGAACTGCCAGGCGCGGACTTTCATTTGTTCTTTTCACGTTAGTAAAATATTTCGTTCACAATTACTTAGTCTTCTTGCTTTAAGTTGCATGTACATGAGCTCTGTCAGTTCCATAGGAACCCCGCTGCAGCAGCAACATAGTTGGAAGCAAGAAGCGCACTGCACAGGCCGACAAAAGTTAGTTCAGGACCTGTCCGGGTCAGGGCCTGTCACCCCACCTGTGGTTCAGATAAAAGACAGAAGAGGCTGAGGAACAAGGGGAGGAAGAGAATGGCCACAATTCAGTAATTACACACTTGGGCTTGGGGTCAACAGAAATACTGACTTATGAGCAGCATTATTTGAAGAATCCCTCTTATCTTAACACCCCAAAGTCCATGAACAATGGATTAAAGAGGAAAAGTACATGCCTATGCACTTAATGCTGTTTAGTGCACATTTGTTGTTATGTAAGTGTTGTTTTCTTTAGGACACAGTGGTTCTCTTGAAATGACTTGTGATCGAGCTTTGCTAGAAGTTACACTGTGAATATTTTTTAGGTGCTGTGAAGGAGACCCAAGGACCACAAATGCCGTGGTTATCTGGGAGAACACCTGTTTGCAGTTACCCAGCCTGCATGGCGCAGAAATTCATTTTGCTGTGAGGAGTATTTGAACTCCTGCCCTTAACGTCTGTTTCTGCAAACATGCCCACAGAAAGAATTTCCCTTCTGGGGTCTTAGGACAGGTAAGCATCTGTGTCGGGAATCACATAGATTGCAGTTTGAAGCTGCTGATGTTGTGAGGTTAAGATACAACGGGAAGGTCAATAAACACCTGAGGAAAGCTGGAATCAGAGCCCAGAGCTTCAGAGCTCCAGTTTCTCCTTAGGACAGGTAAGCATCTGTGTTGGGAATCACATAGATTGCAGTTTGAAGCTGCTGATGTTGTGAAGGTTAAGATACAACGGGAAGGTCAATAAAAACCTGAGGAAAGCTGGAATCAGAGCCCAGAGCTTCAGAGCTCCAGTTTCTCCGGGACCACTGGCGTCAAGTAAAGGACTGGGCTTTTCATCTCTCTCTGAGTGAGTGCTTGGTTTCTCAACTGACTGATTTCCATAATAAGATGAATGCAGAAGCACAGGTTTTATCATAGAAAGGTGCATATAAAAATGCTAGCCTGATCTAGTTTAGTTCTAAAATAGGTATATTTAGCCAAAGGTGTCAGGAAATCAGCACAGTTATCTCTGGGAATCGGAGGATGTGCGGTGATGCTGCTGGTGCTCCTCGGGTCCTCTGTAGCATCAGGGGCTCATCCTCCTGGCTGTTTATGTCTCACAGTTCTGTCCCAGTCCTCTGCCAGATGGGAAGCTCGGCTCTTTCTCAAACAGGGTGTTGGCTGGTGCCTGCTTCAAACAGGGGCCCAAAGCCTGGCCCCTTGCACTTCAAGGTGTGACAAACTCTGGTTCCAGTTTTATTCCATTTATTTCTCATCAGATCAAAGCAATCCCCAACCACGACCAGGTGTGAACCAGCCTAAGGTGGGATTGAGCAGTGCTGGGACACCTTCGGGGTTTGCTTTGGTGTTGGTTGGGAGGCTGTTACGGGGGCATCAGGAGTTTAAGGTCAGAATGGTCTACATAGGAAGGCCTCAGCAGCCAAACAAACGAGTAAGCAAGTGGAGATGCTTTGTTCTTTTCTTTGTTCTTTTCACTTGAAAAAATATTTGCATCACAATTAATTAGTCTTCTTGCTTTTAGGTGCATGAGCACTTGGTGGGTGTTGGCAATGTTCTCCTTCTTGACCTGAGTGTTACATAGGTCTGCTAACACAGGGCTTTGCCACTGATATGAACGTTTATGATTGGTGCAGTGTGCTGGATAGCTTTAGTGTCAACTTGACACACCTGGGTTGAGGGAGCCTCAATCGGGAAATTGCCTCTATTGGACTGGCCTGTGGCCATGTCTGAAGGGCATCTTCTTGATGAGTGATGTGGGAGGACCCAGCCCACTGTGGGTGGTGCCACCCCTGGGCAGGTGGGCCTGTGTTGCATAAGAAAG